AAATAGGCTTTAGTGTCTTTATTCTCACCATGGGTTGCACTGGATATGGTAGATTGGAATTAACTTGCTAGAATTCCAGTAACTTTTTCATGGAATTACAAACATAAACTTCCTGGACCTCTACAAGGACTGGGAAGGGCTCTGTATAACATGTTTTTACACTTAAAGGAAGACTTGAAATTATCTCACTGGGTTGTTTCATGAAAAACTGTCTAGATATTCTAATCAAGGCTACAGATGAATTTAGTGGTTTAATCTCTTAGATGATATTTTTATCTAATTATAGCTTCATGATTTGTTTGAATTAAATTTGAATATGGTAATTTAGAAAATTGTTTTCTTGTGCTTATATTGAAACCATAACAGGTAGCTATGATTTAATTAGGCTTACAGTTTTTCTTTGTGATCCTTTAATATGTATGTCACAATGCAAATCTACACTGGGCTTGTATCTAGACTAGGATTTCTAACATAGGGTCTCAGGACCTCTATTTCTGTTATTTTCCTATTCTGAGCTGGCTGTTTTTCAGCCAGGGCTCATCATAGAGCTTTAGTTCACCCTTTTCTAAAGAAACCTACTCCTTTTTAGAGATTTGTGTTTATAATCTCACTGATTCACACTGAATATTTTGGGAAGAGGGACATCCATCCACCTCAACTCAAAAAAGGTGGGACAAAGTAATTGCAGAGTTAGTTTGCTCTCCTGCAAGAAAACGTCCTTACAAAATCAAATTTACATTATATGAATTCTATTATGAAATATATAGATATTGTTTGTGTAATAGTGACATGTCTTTTTTATTTTAAAGAGAATAAAAAACAATAACAAAATAACAACAACATAGACAAAGAAAAGCAAAAACATTAAAAATGATAGAGCGTCTCAAAATAAAATGATAGGAATTAACAGTGGTTGTTACATTACATACTGTTGTCTTCAACAAAGTTGCTCAGATTACCAGATGTAAGAATGCAAGATTGATCAAACAATTAAAGAGAATAAATAATAATAAAAAATTAGAAATGATACAGAGCTTCATATACTTTAGCTTAGGGAGTCCAATAAAGACAAAGTCTTTTCATCCAAATAAAGTCAAAATACCAAAATAATACAAACAAGTGAACCATTCAAACATAGCACTATGACACTCTGTGAGGCCAAGTAATGTCTTCTACAAGTAAGAGCGAACAGCCAAAATAAAATCAACAGAAAATCCCAATGATTATCTTAATGTCACAAGGGCACAGAAAAAAATCTCATTTTTAAACCAACCTTAAACTTTTCATTTGTCCACCCTAATGCATAGATAAGCTGGGCTAAAATTAATCCAGAAAATTCAGACATTGTCTGACAAAGCTTTGCAAGCACATCTTGATATACCATCGAAAGATATTTCACATGTTTTCTAGCCTTTAGATTTCTGGAAGCATTCCCGGAGGATACATGGGCATTTGGTAATGGATAGAGCAGTTCATACAGAATTACAGTTGTTTTCTTTGAAGCTTTTCCTTCTGAATTCTTACTACTTAAAACAAAATTTAATAGCATCAGCTTATTTTATACCATTTTCTATGCATGGTCTGTTCTTCCCTAAATGCTTTTGTTTAGATATAACAAAACTGAGGTTCAGAGAGAATATTAACCCTCAGGATGTCATCACAAACACCGCAGCATAATACATACCGTAGCATAAGAAATACCATGCAGCATGTGGCTTTAAACAATGGGAACTAATTTTCTAACAATTCTGCGGGCTGAGAAGGCCCAGACGCAGGGGCTCCAACTCAGTGCATGATGGTAGCTCTCTCCCTGCCTTGTCGATGGCCACTTGCCTGCTGTGCTCTCACATGGTGGAAAGGGAACTCTCTGGTCTGTTTCCTTACAGGAACAACAGCCCCATTGGGTCAGAGATTTACCATTACAGCTTCGTTTTACCTTAATCACCTCCTTCTAGGTTTTATTTCCAACTGAAGTCATACTGGGGATTAGAACTTTAACATACTAAATTTGGGGGACAAAATTCAGCCTACATCCTTTGAGGCAGCAGAGCCACGACTTGAATCTAAGTGGTAGTTTTATACCAGAATCTTCTTGTTACCCTTCTTATAGCTGTCTGAGATTTTTATGGATGATTAGAAAGGTCACTAAGTTTTTGTGAAGTCCTTCCTACCTTTCTCTTCTGCCTCTACGAAATCTTCCCCATATTCTATCCCCATCAGGTTTATCTCACTTCTGCCAAAGAAGTAGCACTACTCCTTCCATGAAGTAGCACTCCTACCCATGCATGAGCAAATTGCCCCAAATAAGAGGCATGTTCACCTCTTCAGTAATGAAATATTAATTTTTTTTTTGTCTTTTTGAGACAGGGTCTTACTGTGCAGTTCAGGTTGGCCTTGAACTCACTTTGTAGCCCAGGCTGGCCTCAAACTTACAGCAGTCCCCCTGCACAGGCAAGTGCCACCATGTGTGGCAAAATATTAATTTTTGAAGCATGTGGAAGACATATTTTTAAGAGATTCTGTCCTCATTTCTCAGATGACCCTTAAAGAAGATTATAGCATTTAAGATTATGAACTCATTGTACATATATTTCCCACCAATATAATTTTTCTTCTTTGATGTTTCAGAACAATATTTAAAACTTCATTTCATTTAATATCTACTGCTTATACTCTTTATACTAACAAACATTTAACTGAAATTTAAAGATAGAAGATAACCATTGCTCTCAAGAAAATTAGAGGAAATCAGACATTGGTGGAGAAAGACTTACATACAATTAACTGTAATCCAAGTATAGTATATTAGGTGTCAAAAATAATTGAAAATTATAATCTAACATTTCAAAGAATGAAGCCAGATAAAAACCTCAGATTCTTTTTATTTTATTTTATTTTATTTTATTTTTTGGGAAGTGGGGCACTCTTGAAACCTTTTGAGTTGGTAGATAGTTTTGATCTGATTCATTTTCAAAATCACCTCTAAAATAAAGGGAGGTTAAAGGGGAAGAGGGTCTAGGCTATTATTGTCCTAAGGTACATTTTAAGAAAAAGAGAAGGTGTTAAAACACCTTTGTAAGTCAAGGGTTTGATGTTTGGAAACCACTTTTCAAGTTAAATATTAGTGTTCCCCCATATTTCATCCTTTTTTATCAAGATGTTATGTAAAATAGTTAATAAATATAGCTCATGACAATCAGGACAGAAAACTGACCAATAAAAATTGACCAGTTCATAAATACATATTTAACAAGTGACCATACTGATGTATATTGGATACATGTCAGAACTGCTTTTGACTCATATTATACCTATGGAGCTTATGATTTGAAAGATTTTGTTTATTAAGCAAATTTCATAAGTTGTATAATATATAATTTTCTAATTTCTTAATGATTGATTTCTATGATATACAGCTTAAGATCATTGTGATACATTGAACTGATACAATTTTAGTACTCATCTATAAAATTTTATGTCAAGTAGTCTACATGGCCTCCTTTTAGGCAGATTTATGACTTTCACTTTGTATTTTGAAATATTAAAAATATTACCTCAACTTTACAAATTTTCTAGGGGAGAGTGGAATGATATCCTCCATTACTAGCACTGATTTAAACTACACTCCTGATAGGCTTGTGATGTTTTGGAACAGTCTCTGTGCCCCTCCCCCTCTCCTATTTTACCACACACATGTATGTACATGCACATTTATCTTACCTGAATCTCTTTATGTGTCATGCATTGCTGAAGTTTCTGCCACTCCTGTTTGTCATATATTTATGTTACCTTCCTGGCCCCTAAGGTATATATGGTTGTCATTCCTGATTTAGATCTTTCTGTGTTTGTTTGGAGCCATCATTTGGCCCACATCATAATCCAACACCAGTGGTATGAATAGTGCTGTGATAGGATTCTAAAAATTTCTGAGTACTTCCCATCATTTGAGGCATTGTTAACAGGGAAGATTTTACTATTTGCATTTGACGAGCTCTGCTTTAGGTGAAGTCACCTTGACTTTCATGTTCCATTTCAGCTCAAAGCTTTTTTATGTATTTTAGATTCCAGTACTGACCTTCAAAATAATTTTTAAAAGAAAAATTGACTTTTCACACCATATATGACTTCTCTTTTTGACTTTTGATTCTTGCCTCTCCTTGCTTCCCCTGCTCCTCCCCGAAACCACTGCTTTCAAATATACCTGCCCCGGACATATGCTTAAGAAAAAAAAAGACGAGAAAAGAAGAAAAAACCCCACCTGTTGTTTTGAGCACCCTGCAGCGACGTCCTGGCCTCAGCTGCATTTCAGGGACCTACTGGTGCGTCCTTGCTCCACCTTGATGGACCTGTTCCCTCTGGGCCGCTCCTGGCCGCCCTCAGGACCGCTTCCAATGCTGGAGCAAAGTCCAGTCCGAGCTGCGGCCAACACTGCTCCATCAGGGTCGCCTCTCCCTTCCTCTTATCCCTTCCTGCGATGAAGCATAGTTCAGTGAGGACAAAGAATACCACCGAAGATGTAATGAACGGCCGCAACTCAAGCGAGAGTTAGGATGTCTTTTTGACGAACCTTAATGAGCTGCGGTGTATTTCAGGGAAAGTACATTACAAGCCCTTTATGGGAGAACGTCACGAGCAGCACCTGTAATTCTTGTTTATAGTCTCAAAAACTGTTAGCACCTCCTGGCTTTTGCCTTGCACTGCTAATGTTAAGTAAGAACATGGATGGGAAATAAATGGCAGAACTGAGGAAGTTGTGTTTTTTTCTTTTCCTTAAAAAAATGGCAGATGGTATTTTGAACATAAATAGCCATGAAGCATAAAAGTATATGAGTTTTGGCTGTTTGAGGGAGAAAAAAATTGATTTTTTTAATTGTAAAAAATTAGCTTGAGGTTCTCTCGGGAGTTTAAAAAAAGCAGTGAGTAAAAGGAGTGAACTGCAAGATAGCGTTTGTGTAACAAGTGCCTCAAACCACAGAAGTCACATGGGCTCTTTCTGCTTTGCTACTTTTGATTACCCATCAGAGGCTTGTACATCTAGCTTCCCCCATCCTGCAAGGCCACTCAGCCAGGTGCCAGATGGAGTAATCTTTATTCACAATGTCTTTACAAAGGCTTCTGCAGCAAAGCAGCAATGGCAATTTGGTGGACTACTGCACCGGTCCTGCGTATAGCTCTTCCCCTGCACTCACAAGCAGTCTCAGGATGGACGACAACAGGAGGATTCAAATGCTGGCAGACACAGTGGCTACTTTGCCTCGGGGGCGAAAGCAGGTATCGTTGTTATTTTGTATTCATGTTCTCTTGAGACCAGAGTGATGTTTGTCTGACTTGAAGCTAAAAATGTTACTTTAGAGACTTTGGAATTAGTCACTGAGTATGAGAGAGGGGGAGGTGAGACGCACTGGACAGAGATTTGACACCAAAATCAGACACACTTTTTTCTTTTTAACAAGGCAAAACTTAAAAGATTGCTTTTCTCACTTAAAGAGGTGCTTGGGTAAAATGAAAATTGTTGCAGATAACATCAATGCAGGTGGTTTATATGAGAATCATTGGTCTTTTTCTCCCCTTATTCTCATTTATTCTTTTCCTCCCGTCTGCACTCTCTGGCTTTGATGGTCATTTTAGTTCATAGTCAAAAGAAAATACTTTTCCTTAAGGGCAAATTTTGTTGACATTGCCAAATAACTGTTGCTCCTGGGAACAAAACTTTATTGGATACCTGTGTGCCAGATGGAACACTAAGTCACTTGCTAGCTGTGGGATCTTGAGCAAGTCGTTTGTCTTTCTAACATTTGGTTTCCTTTTTCTAAAATGAAGATCATAATAGAAGCACCTTAACTGGGCTCATATACAGCCTAAGTATGGACGTGTGCAGTGTCTAACACAGTGACTGACACACAGCATGTGCTCAGTAAGAGCTACATTATGTTATTTTAAAATTTTATTACAGAGTATTTCTCTGGGGTGAGAACCAATTTAAAAAATATCTGTATCTAAGTAATTTATTCAGATTTTATTTATTCTTCAATTTCTAACATGCAAAAAATTAACCATACTACCTGCTTAGGTCTTACTTATATACTTGTACAATCCTAAGTGCAGATTTGACTTTAGACAGCATGTCTTCAGAAAATATGTAGAATTGCTTTAATGCATGAATTTTGGCCCTTAAGTTTCAGGTTTAGATCAGGTAGTTCTCTGAATCCTTCTAATTTAAAGATTAGAGAGTTACAATCATTTTTCAGTGATGTATAAGGCTGACTCATTAATATTTTTTACAGTTAAAATAAGGGCATAATTTGCCATATTTTAAATTATTGAGGGCTGGGGATTTAGCTCAGTGGCAAAGCGTCTGCCTGGCAAGTGCAAGGTCGTGAGTTCAGTTCCCAGTACCGGAGAAAAACCAAAAAAAAAAATAAATAAATAAAAAATAAATAAATTATTGATATTTTTGAATCTAAAGTAAATTCATGATAAACAGTTTAATATAGTGATGAACATGTTTACCAGTTTACAACCTGTCTGAAAACAAAGTATCATGGGAAATACCAACATCTTTATTATTTTCACATATAGGGCAGTCCAGTTTACTTTCTATTTTTCATAAAGCTATCAGACTAAATATTGCTCATTTGGTAAGGCTGTGAGTTAATACTTTTGGGGAAATAGTTATTGCTCAAGCAATACTTTAATTCTCGAATCAGGGTGGGAACTTTTCATCCTGTCCTCTGCAACTGAAACTTTACTCATTTTATCTGCTTCTCTGCTCAGCCATTTCCGCAGAACAGTTTCAGAGCACCTACAAGGGGTTAGACATCATGCTTCTTTTAGAAGGTAAAAGATTAGAAAAGCACATTTCCCACGTAGAGAGAGTTTATAATTCAGGACGCAGGATGAGTAGCATTATACCACGTAAAATGATATAAATACTTGCTTCCAGGTAACCCAGTCTTTGAATGTAGCTTTGAAGCCTCTTTAGTATTGCACAGTAAGGAACAGTTAATGCTGAAGCTCATTACCTGGTACTCTGGGGTGTAATAACACGACAGTGCATCAGGAAGACCCAGTGCATGTGTAGGAGGTGAGAGGAGACCACAGAGCAGGTTGCTTTGCAGAATACTTCAACAACTTCCCCAGAGAAAGCAGACAATTTTCTCTGGTACTTATAAAGGGTCAGTGGCAGGACACTCCATGGATAGGAAAAGCCCACAGGTGCTGAAGTCTATTATACAATAGCATAGTGTTTGCACATAAACTACACACATCCTCCTGTCAGGTCTAGACTACATAGAATGCCTAATATGATGTGGAAGCTACATCATATAGCATTCACATCATATAGTTGCCAACTTTATTGTTTAGAATAATGACAGAACAAAGTCTGTACATGTTAGTATAGGTTTCTTATTTTCTTTCTTTTAACTATTTTCAATGTGTGGTTGTTTGAATGAATGGACACAGAACCTGTGGGTACACAGAGCTGACTATAATTTGACCAGCACAAAAGGCCACTGAACCTATTTGAGCAGTAGAGAACTTTAGGACTCTTATTTGAGAAATGTGGTGGACTGGTGAGTGAAGACTAGTATTGAGGGAGGAAATTTTTGCAGCAGTTGGAGAAAGAGGAAATGAAGCAATGGAGAAGAAACAGAAAGATTTGAATATCAAAGACAATGAAGATGGAGGATGCATATCTTGTTTTAAGCCTAACTGAAGATGCCATGAGTTAAAAAGTCAGTTAGTAAGAGAGACTGATTATTGAAGGATGAAAATAAGAAAAATTTAGGCACATGAGATATGTCTGCATATGTGTAGCATATCCATATATGCAAGCATGTACACAAAATTCATACCAATGAATTTATGCATAGCTTTATCTTTTTAGTTTTTCTTTTCTTCTTTCTCTCATATTAACTCAAATGATAGATTTCCCTCCTTACTGATGTAAAAATTGCTTTTATAAAAGCAAAACTAAACCCTTTGAACACAATACTTTTGATTCCATACAATCATCATCAGTGAAATTTTGTTCAAGTTTATCACAACATTTCAGAAAGTTCCAAATAGGCATTCACTTCCTATAACTGAATTTTGGAAAACAATCACCCTTTTGGCATAGACTAAATAGCAGGCAACAAGATCCCCTATGAGGCAATCCTACAAGCAGGTGTGTCTCTGCCTCCTGTTATTTTCAACACTTTGAGGATTGACGTCAACAATTCATACTTCTCGTTATTGCTGGCTTTGGTTTCTGCAAAGCTACATCTGGTTAGTCTCTAGTTTCAGGTTAATCTGCAGAATCAATTGGGTGTTTACATTAAGATTTGTTTAAAAATGGATTTCTAGGTGTGAATATTATTTCAATAATTTCATTTGTAGGAAGTGCCAGACATTCAGAAGAACTCATCTTAAGCATAGTTTTAGGACAGAAAATTTCTGCAATGGAAAACTCTGTAGGAAAAATATAAAAGGAAATCAGGACAGTATTTTTAAATGTAATGAAGCCAAAGAAGTAGTGATTATGTCTGACTACCCATTCTTGTGAATGGTAGGTTGCTTTTGGAAAGTAGTTCTCATTGACTTCTGGAGTGAATGCTGGAGTGAGAAGCAGAACCTGACCTAGAAATATGAAGCGCCACTGTGGACTAGGGTGCCACCAATGTACTTTCTTTTCCTAATTTGCTTTCTGCTATGAAGTTATTACTGAGTAGGCAGCTCCTGGAAGGCTGACTTCAAGTACAAGTTCAAATAAGAAATTTGTGATAAATTTTGTGCCAGGTACATTTTTTGGTTGGTTTTGACCTTCAGAGGCTTTCATGGCATTTTAGCACACCTACCAGGTTCTATGTCTACCAGGGGTACCCTACATATATCAAAGCACTTGATCATTTCATGATGGTTTTGGGTAGAAAACTGTGCTCACTCCACGACAAAGACAAAATAACTTGAAAAATATTCTTTCAACCATGTAGTGGCATGTCTCGAGCAGTATCCAAATTTTCTTGAAAAAGAGGTCTACAAACCCATGATTAGTACTTCTGGGAAAGGGCAGCATTCCATGTAGGTTCTTTGGGGGATTTTCAGTTTTGGAACTTGAGTTCAGCTTCATTATTCTGTTATATTTTTGCATAGTCTGGGGAACCTTACTATTCTAGTGCTCTAGACTTAAAGTGGGGGAGGGCTATGTCCACGGATCAGCTGGGGAGGGAAGGTGAGGCAGGGGACCGCAAGACCAGAGCACTGAATTTTGAGATGTTTGAAACAAAAATAAAAAACACTCAGTCACCCCCACCCCACCCCACCCTGCCCTGTGAATCAGTATCCTCCCTTATCCCACCTCCAACTCTTTTTGGAAATGTGTACACAGAATGGGGACAAGGAAGTAACAGTCTGCAGTTCAGCAACAGAAGAGACTGCAGTGTTGAACTTGGAGCTTCTCCGAGCCCAGCTAACTATCTGGCCTTGCTACAAATTTCCCTAACTCCTGCAAACTGACAGCTGAAATGTTTGGTTTTGGCTTCCCACTAAGAAAGCCTTGGGAATCACTGAATAGCAGGAGAAATTGCATTTTGAATATTAATGCCCATTCTTTTAAGTCATCTGAGTAAAAACAGAAGAGCAGTCATAAGTTCAACCTCAGCCATCATTACATTTACTGGCTAGAGAGGAGTTAAGGAGCTTTGTCTATTCAGCAGTCATAACTGAATGTGTAGTTTGCAAGTCTGCCAAATTGCAAACCTAGATTTCTCATATTAGATAATGTGTAATAAAAGACAGCTGTTGCCAGCATATGTTGTGAATTACACACCAGTTCCTCATTCATGATTTTTGGTGCCAGCACCAGAGCTCTGAGAAAAGGCTGGGAGGGTTGTCTGGGAAACATTCACTCCTCTGGTCCCACTTTTAAACAGGACTGCTCACCTTAGGGTAAAGTCTTTCTGAAGCGCAAGACCTCTGAGAAGACTTCACATGCTCTTGTCATTAGGCACCATAGCCTGTGGGCAAGCAAAGCGGAATCCTGAGAATACTTCCAGGTCACCTCAGTGTGAGAGCCCAAATCAAAAGCAAAGAGTCTGTGTATCAAGATATGGCCCATGTCAGATAATTTAATGGCACCTAATTCATTTATATTGCATTTTATTTATATATTAGGTGCCTAAAATATCTTTGTGGCTAGTGCAGAATGGAAACTAATTTATAAATTGGCCTAGTCTGATGTTTTTGTCCCTGATAAACCAAATGAGTCATTCCAAAACCTGAACATCTACACTCTTTCTCATGTTATTAGGGAAATATTTTTTTCTTTAGTCAGTTAGTTAGATAGAGAGGTTAGAAGGTAGAAGAGAGGGAAATTTTCTTCCCCCTAGAGGACTCCGATCTATTTTATGGATCTAAATACTATAGATTTGAAACTATAGAAATGACTTTTATTTAGAAGGTAGGTTGGAGGAAATCTTGAATCTCCTATCACTGTTGATTGTAGATTGGGAAAATGGCATTTAAATTGCCAAGACTGGAAATTTTAATAACAATTTGTTAATTCATGCCACCATTTATTTATTTAGTAGTTATAGACATCATCTTACCTTTCTTTGTCTTTTTTCTATACTTCTTGTTATTTTTGGATATTTTTCCCCTATTTTGTTTGTTTCGTTTCATTTTTGTTGTTGCTATACCTTTGAGATTTAAACATTTTTTTCTTACATTTTTCTGTGATTAGAGTTTTTCCCTATGAATATTTAACTTATAGAAGAATGAAGTTAAAGAATGTTGTAATATATTCTTCTGCTCCAAACTTGAATGCTTGAATTTGGGTCTCCTTTCCCCATTTGTTAGTAGTTTATTTCTGTGTCTGTTTTGCACTTTCTCTGCTCCCACACTATTCTACCTCTCATGTAGGCTCCCGGGGTAAAATATAAAACACATTCTCCAAGAAGTCTGTAGCATACAGATGAATATCTACAAAAGTAAAGTACTCAATCAAACATGCCCTTCATATTAACATGCACATATATGTATACATATAGAACTCCATATTTATGAACGTGTAAATGCTGATTGTAAGGGTAGTTCCTTAAAAAAATAAACCCTAGTCGTCATTGTATACGACATAATTCCACGTGGCTGAACTGAGTACATTCTAATTTGAATCAGGGGTGGAAGAAAAGCCAGATGAGGATGACGAAAAGAGACAAAAGAAAATGTGAGCACAGTACAGTGCTGGGATTAAAAATGTTCGAGGACACTGCTTTTTAAAAATTTTTAAAAAACATTTTAAAAATAAAAGAAGGAAAACATATGACAAACAGACATCCATTTACAAAATCACATAAGAACAATACAAGCAATACTGAGTTACAAAGTGGGAGGAAATTAACATTGGTTGTTGTATTATGTATTTATGTCTTCAAAGTGGCTTCGCAGGAAAACAAATAGAGACATGCAAGATTGATCAAATAATTAATCATTAACTGTTCCTTTCAGTAAAGCAGTAGAAGTCAGTAGTACAACTATGTTAGCTACCCTGTATATATATATATACACATACATAATTTGCCTTTCTTTCTTTTTTCTTTTCCCTCATCCCAGTTGCTCTTTACTTTTGAGCAGTTTACTTTCATTTCACAATGTCTATCATACCTCCTAATTTTTATTCACCTTTTCAGGTTCTTACACTAGTGAGACGATATGTTGCTTACACATGGAGGTCTGATTTATTTCACTTATGAATATGGTCTCTAGGTGTGACCATTTACCTGTAAAAGCCTTGAATTTATCTTTCTTTATAGCTGAGGAATATTCCATTATATAAAAATACCACATTTTTTAATCCATTCCTCAGAGGATTGACATTTGGGTTGCTTCCACAATTTAGCAATTACAAATTGCGCTGATGTAAACATAGGTGTACATATATCGCTGTGAATATGATGTTTTCAGATCTTCTGGGAAAACACCCAGAAGGGGAATAGCTGGGTTGAATGGGACCTCTGGACCTAGTTTTGTGAGGAATCTCCAAACTTATTTCCACAGTGGTTTCACCAGTCTACACCCCCATCAGCAGTGGAGAAGGGTTCCTTTTTCTCCACAGCCTCACCAGCATTTGTTATATTTATTTGTCAACTGTGTTTCTTTGTCTGAGAATTGTGTATTCATCTCAGATGCCCATTTTTGGATTGGGTCTTTGAATTTTGGGGGTCTGATATTTTTTAATTCTTTATATGTTCTAGATAGAAGACCTTTATCCAAAGGAGAGTCAGCTAAAATTTTTTTCCCAATTTGTGCGTTTTCTTTTCACTCTGTTGGTGATTTCTTTGATTGTATTGCTCTCTTTCACAGGAAAACAGCCGACTAATGTAATTGAAAGTTCCGCACCCTTGTTTATAAATAGCAGGTAGAAAGGCACATGGTAACAAACCTTGAAGTAGCTGTAGGTATTTCACAGTTAGTCCTGATAGAGGAAAAGCAGATGCTTTTAACAAGTCTGGAGATTCTTTTTGGGTCTGTGTCAGTCTTCAGAGTGATTTAATGAATTTAGATCTGCAACTGGCAAAAGGGGGAAATATAATTACTTCATATCACATCTATCAGATGAGGTTACCTCTCCAAATATATTAACTTTACTAAAAGTTGGCTGAATTCTTTTATTTTTTTCTTTTTTCTTGGTACCGGGAATTGAACTCAGGACCTTGTGCTTGCCAGGCAGGTGCTTGGGCTTCTGAGCTACATCACCAGCATGGCTGAATTGTTAATAATGGGACATCCCAGGAAATTTGTGAGATTGTTGGCATTTGGTACCTGGTAATTCAAATTCTGTGTAGGCATCTGTGTAACTTGTCACATAGGCATTAATTTCCTCTGTGCATTTTTCTATTTCTCATTTTTATTCTCTAATTTTATTTTTATTTATCTGGACTATGTATTGACCTGTTATTACATATTTTGCTTACCTGTGCTAATCATGTTCACCTGGCATTAAAAACCATGATTTAGCCAGTAGTATAAGCTTATGTTTAGGGCCCTTGGAACAATCTTTGAGGAAGGGCTAAGTAACACTTCTTAAACAAACAAAATAAAAGCAAACATCTACAAACAGTCCCTTGAATAATAAGGTGCTATCTTTTGTTGACTTCCTTTCTATTTACAATAGTAGATGGCATACTGAACGTTTATGTTTATATGATTTTATCCAAAATGTGCATGGGATGAAAGGTGATATTATTTATACTATCTGTATCATTCCTAGTGCCTTTTCTTTTTTGGCTGAAAATCTCATTACACTCCTCTAAAACTATTGCGAAAATAAATCATAAATAAAATCGAAGTTTTGAGTCCTTAGTTTCACCTGAATTATGTTTCTGTATGTATGCATGTTGGTTCTTTAGAGATTGTTTTATCCTGCTAAAAACAGGAACATTGAACTATTACAATAAATACAGTCATTTCATCAGGAACTCCAAAAGCTATCAAGTATTTGAGTACCTAGGTTTCATGCAATTCCGTGGGTGTTATTTTCTCTGGAGTTCAGTGTGACGGTAAATTATTGTGGCTCATCCTTTGGAAGCTATTTGAAGCACAGGTTAGGAATGCAGTACTCTGTGAAAGCTTTGGGGTTCTGGCACATTACACGAACACTTTTGCCACAGTACCCTACTATCCAAGCTCTTGTAATCTTTTAAACAGAATGCCTGAAAGTTCTCATTCCCAATTCTACTTCTTTGCTATCACCAGAAAATGGGAATTACTGCCTTTATGTAAAAATTGTCCGGGAGCTGGGCCAAGGAAAGTGATGAAGAACAAAGTCCTTTGTGCTTTACAATAGTTTATAGATGTATCTTCAGGACCTTGAGATAACTATACTTTTGTTACTTTTCAGCCTGCTTTGACTAGATCAAGTTCTTTGGGTGACTTTTCCTGGTCTCAAAGGTAATAAGATTCACTTTTTTTGATTTTTCACCAAGAAAGACAGGAATATAGCTCTCTAGACTGTTGATAATAAACATCCACATTATAATTTATGAAGTGTGATAAAATAAAATAAATATTTTTTAAAAATATTATTTTTTAAATAAATAAATATTTTTTAAAAATATTATTTTTTAAAAGTGTTTCACAGTAAAAGATATATTACCATTAATTCCCGAAATACTCCACCTCATTTCCAAAGCACTTACCTCATTGCTCTTCCTGGAACAGGTCTGGAAGTCCTATTTTGCAAGTGTCTTTAGTTGTGCTGGTGTGGCTGCCTCAGTGTGCTGAATCTATTCAACACCTTTATCTTTCATGGACATTTTGTCTTTGAAAAGCGCTAGAATTACTGTGGTGCCAAATCTGGTGAATAAGGTGAATGTAGTGTTTTTATGAACCTGCCTTCCCACTGGATGGCATGTAGCAGCAGCATTTACTGTGTTTTTTTTTTATCACATATCACGAAGACTCTTACAAAGAGACTTCCAGAAATGCTTCAGAAAGTGGCAAGAATGATAGGATAAGTGCATTGGAAGTAAGGGGGAGTGTCAGGGGAGATTTATGGTAATATGTTTTTTATTGTAATAAATTTAAAAATTTAAACATTCACTGTATATTCTGATCAATCTTTAAACACAAATATCAGATAGTTTCAATTGTGACAGTTATTTTTAATGACAGATATGTGTCAAATGTGATACGTTATTCTTCATGCAGTTTAAAAAATTTTTTTTTCCATTACAGAAAGTTTGTAACTGTGGAAAAGCAGGACAATGGAACATTTGGATTTGAAATTCAGGTCAGCAGTTTTCAAATCTCCCAGACTTCCAAGGAAAACCATTAGAATACTTAAAGAATAATGAAATTAGGATTAGAGAATGATGGAGACTGTAAACTTCCCTCAATGTAGGGGTTTTGGGATAGTTTTCAAATGGGTTGAGTACTGTCAAGGAAAGAAAACTGTGACACTGACGAAACATTACCCCTGGGTAGTCTCAGCTCCTTGTGCTGACTTGCCTCAGTCTCTAAGCACAGATGATCAGAAATGCTTGATTTTGATCAGGTCTTAATTAAGAGAGTGAAATAGTTTTTACAGATGTGCATGTTACATGCTTGCATTTTGGATGTGCTTGGTATAATGACATTATTGTGCTACATATATCATGCTACATATCAGGTTCTAAATCGTTAGTATTTAACAAATATTTAAAACTGTGTATATGGAATGCATATGTTTATGTGTAGGCACAGTTCCTTTTGATACAGAGAGTTGTTACTAATATAATGAGAAATTTCTTTATTTCAAATGACAATATTTTATAATAATTATTATTTGAAACACTTGAAACTTGGCTCTACATGAAGTTTGCTTAATAATGTATGAAATTTTTAACAGTCCTTATGGGCATTAATCTAATGCCCAATAATTTCATTTCTCATTAACTGTTTGCTTTTTTTGTGACTATATTTATAAAGATAGTGAATTAGGTCAGATGAAATCTAATCTAATTAGAGTGTAAAATCATTCTTTAAATATTACTTTTTTCCATAACACTTATGCATTCCTTTTAGATGTGTTTTGCATAATCATATTCTTATACTACGCTTCAGATTTTAGATCTTAGTTTTTGTGCTGCTTGCAGAAAAATTTGGTGTGATATCAGCCCCACAATTGGAAACTCAGTGTGTATTTTAAGATCAGGAACAGGAAGCTGCTAAGTAAAACATATTTTATGAGTAAAGAAAAAAATGATATGAACCAGGAGAAGGTTATAGGGGATAGAAGATAGCTTCTCCTTTTTGGACTCTAGTTCTTTTAAATTGGGTGAAATTTATGATTTTCCACAATAATTGATAAAATATGTCAAACTGTAGAAGTTCAGTACCATTCCCTGTTCACATAAGACACTATCTTGTTATAGACTCATTGTATGTTTTATGATTCCTTCTTTTTCTATTTATTTGTTTATTTCTTGTCTTTTTGAGACAAGGTCTTGCTATGCAGTTCAAGCTGGCCTTAAGCTCACTTTGTAGCCCAGGCTGGTCTCGAACTCGCAACACTTCTCCTACCTCAGTCTCCCATGATTGCTTCTTTTTGAATGAGAATAATTCTCATAGATGTGTAGCAATTGCTACTGAAAATAGGATAAATACAACAGGCTACAGAGCACTGAATATTTATAAGTCAACATGAGCTAATGGCTTCATAGCTTGTATGTGTTACCTCAGTGAAACAGGAAGTCAACAAATAGGGTGAATGTTTGGGGGGATTTTTTACAGACCAGACAGGATTTTATGTATTCATATCGTGCATCATGTGTCAATTTATATTTATGTCCTAGTCTACTAGGTGAGTGACGTGTTAGAAGAGACCAGATCCACTCTCCTCTCTGGTTCTCCGTGGATGCTAGTTTTACACTGCTTATGATAAGCCTACACTAAATACTTCTTTCTGTAACTTTGGGGCTTCTGTTTTCCTGTCTGTAACCCCAACTTTGTAATGCTGCTGGATATGTGCAGGTGCCTGCTAGATAAATCAGTAAGTTTTCTCTGCACTTTCCTTTCTTTGATGTCCTCGGTTTGATATACCAGAGGGTAGATCCTCAACACTAATGAGAACTGTTACAGAAGTGGTTTCTAGGCAGGGTCAGTTATAGATCTGGTTCACAAACCCCCTAAACTAGACCATCCTTCATCTCTAGAATGATCTGGGCTGAACTGAGCCATCTGGCAGGCTGTCAAAGGGCTCTGATATACATGGACAATGCATTACATGATCTTTGAAAGTTGTTCTGTCATTAAGATACAGGACTCTAGGACTGGAGATATAACTCAGTGGCACAGTCTGGCCACCTGCCCGGCAAGCTTGAGGTCATGAGTTCAATTCCTGGTACAAAAAAGAAAAAATACAGGACTCTATCTACCTTGTAGATTGAGGAGAAATGTCTTAGGTTGACCAGCTCAGGATTATATAAGTTACTTGAACATGACTGACTCAGGATTGATAGAATGAAAAGGAATGACGAGAAGGCACTAATTTCTGCACCAGAAAACAGTAAGGTGAATAATTTTAGGAATCAGATGTTTTAAAAACTCCTCAGAGCACTAATCTTGATTCTTAATGAAACTAGTTCTCATTACAAATATATTAAAGATGAAAAATGCATTTGTTTGGGGTTTCAGGGACACTGTATGTAGTGAACAATTTGAAAAACAAAAACCTACAACCACTAAACTACTTCTGCTAAATTGAGGCAGGAGGTGAAGCATAACTTTTTCTAATTTAGTTGGTGACTAATGAACCAGGGAGAGTTTGGGGCAGGCACAGTGGAGACTCAGAAATGAAAGTGATTGAGTAAATTATAGTACTTTTGAATAAATGCAGAACAGATTATCACTGCTTGCAGAACTGATTTAAAATAATCGCTGTTGGTATGTTTCCCTTGCCGGGTGTGTACCAAGTCATCCTCTCCTATAACGAGTGTTTCAGTTTGGGAGACCCATGTAAAGCTCTTCTCCATTGCTTTTGGCCAGTACTGTTTTATCCTACTGGGAAATAAAAAATTTAATTTTTAAAAAAATGATAATACCAGGTGATCTCTTAGACGTGAAAATAGAAAATCTTGAGCCACTCTTATCCTATTTTCTCATGCAAGATCATTTTATATGAGTGGAGTTGGCTATTAACTGATCCAATTGAAAAACTGGCACCTTTGATGCAATTTATAGTCAGGAAAGACTTTTTAAATTGTCCTTTGCACTCACCTTTTAAACTACGTAATGATAATTGACATGATTTTATATTTTGAAAAATATATTCTGAGCGTTTTAAAACAGTAACTCTGTATTCCCTTACATTTTATAGACCCATAGCCTCCAGAACCAGAACTTTTGCTCCTTGGAAGTGTGCACTCTGATCTGCAAAATACAGGAGAACAGTCCAGCTCACTGTGCTGGCCTGCAAGCCGGTAACCTACCTTTGCTCATGTTAAGGACCATTTACATAGTAAAGAAGGAAAACAGTGATAGTGAGGGTCAGGACATGAGGATTGCTTTGGGTTTTCTTGAATGTTTCTAGGGTTTGGGGCTTGCTTGTTTCATTTGTGAGTCAGGAGGGATTATTTAACTAACCTACATAAGCACTCATTTTAAACCAGGATAGTACTCATTTTTAACCAATGTAACACTCATTTTTCTTGGCGTTGCCCAGGTGATGTCCTTGCAAATATCAATGGAGTGAGCACAGAAGGCTTTTCCCACAAGCAAGTGGTTGACCTGATCAGAGCAGCAGGAAACCTGCTAAGGTAACTATCCATTTCATCTTGCTGGACACAGAGCTACTGTGGTCTCTCTGCCTGCTGAATAGATGAAAAGGCTTTTTGTTCAGGGATAACGAAGGACAGCAGTACTTGAGCTTTGCTGCTGGGTGCAAACATTTTTATCATTACCTTTTGTTTTTTAAGTTTTCATGAGACATATTTTCAATGTATAAAGTCAGTGGTATCTTTGTGGGAGAGGCAGCATTTACAAATGTATTTTTAATGTCAAATTCTGTTTAACTGCCACACATGTTTTATGGACTGAGAGAGACTGGTCCAACTTCAGGGGTTGATATAATTTTGCTGCTAAAACAAATGGAAGGTCACAGACTGGGTGTTCTCCTTTGATGCCACAAGCTACTCAGTTTTCTTCTCTATTGTTCTGTTTGTAAGAAACAAATTATTTGTTATAGTTTGCTCAGTGCTCCATACTCTGAAACACATCTACTCACGCACACCAATATTCCAAACAGTAAAACACTGGTCTCCTCAACCAGGGATCTGATGGACTTTCCCACACGGGCTTTTTTCAATTTTTGGTTTTTTTTATTCATACATCTTTATAGTACATAATGACTAGATTCCTTGTATGTGTACATAACATGTCTTAATTCTTTTTTTTCATCTCCTTCCCTGGCCCTTCCCTCCTCCTGTCTATCTCTTGGTCTCTCTCCCTTTTGCAAAAGATTAAGAGTCTCAGTGAAACAGATGAATAGGGAAACCCACTTTTGCTCAGAGTGAAGACTTCCCTGATAACAAAGTAGACAGCTTTTGGCTAGCTACCAGAACATTCCTAGAATACAACAAAACCTTAATAAGTAGTGAAAAATGGAATATGATCACTCAGTAAGATGGTATTTATTGAGCAAATACTGTTTCAGTCCTGTGACAGATTTAAAAAAGGCAAAAGTAGACTCTTCCTAGTATTCTAATAACCAGAAAGAGATGGCTAAGAAAAGCCTGAAAAGTCAGAAATTTTAATATCTCTGTTATTGATAACTGGTGTGATGAAAAAATACTAGGCAAATGGGAGAGAACATTGAGGAAGATGGCTGCTGGTTTAGCTTAGATGTTTAAAGTGTTCTCTGAAGAAGTGGAGCTGGAACTGAGACTAAATGAGAGAAGGGATGATTATCAGAACTCTTGTAAGAGCATTTAAGGTGAAGAGAGAGGTCTCAGAGCTCTCTTAGCACATTCAAAGTACAGAGAGAAATCCACTGTAATTGGTAGTTGTTGGATAAGAGAGAATATAATAAGAAATGAAGACGGAGTTGGCCTGGAAGCAGATCATGGGTCCATCAGTTATGTCTAGGAGTTTAGGTGTTTTACTGATCGAGATGGATCTTACATTACTCCATTCATTCATCGCAGCTATTTTGTGGGGTTAGTTTCATTCCTATTTATAGATGAAGTGCCTGAGGCTTAAAAAGGCTTAGTTAGGTGACCCAAATAGTGAATGAGAGGTCTGGATTTGTTCATCTACTCTCGATGCCAGAATCTTTCTCGGTTGGAGCTGCTCATGGTAAGCTGCCAAGAGTTGCATGCTTTTCAGTGATATTTAAAGTGTATTTTGAGTGTTTATATGAATTGTTTTGAAAGATGGCTGTTGGAAAACTGAGTCCAGCTTTGTGGGTCCTGTGGGTTCAGGGGACAGCAGTAGTCTTGCTTCAAAACAAACAAAACCTAGATCCAGAAAGTAAGAACCATACAGAATCCAACAATAACACTAGCGAGGGTGGAGTCAGAAAGGTTTGTTCCACATGGGTGAAGACCATATCTATTGCTGGACAGGCTGGGTCAACGTGAAGATTTTCTATGGCACAGATTAATGGGGATCCACTCTATCGCCCAGAGGATCAAGTTTGTGTTAAAGAGAAAGCAGATCAAATTTTGGCTTGCTTTCATCTCATTGTCTCAGATGTGATGTCATTAGAAATAGATGGAAATTTGTTCTCCACATTTAGTGCCTTTAGCATGCCTTGCAGGAACTTGAGCCAATATTTTAAAAAATACCTCACTGTGATTCATAACTGAAATATGTGTCATATTCATATTGATACTCTAGTAGTCAGAATAAAGGTCTTTAATGGGCTCACAAAATAAATCGCTCAGCATATGGGTCTTACAGTTTTCGAAATGCATTCTGTGTAGGACTAAAAGAACAATATTCAGCTGATAATTCTGTGTTCAAAGTTTGTAGTCTAAAGGTTTGAGAAGAGTCATACAAAATTATTATTTTACAGTTGTTCTCATTTTGTTTGTTGTTTTTCCAAAATTACAGGACAATTTACAGAGGTAAAGCCTTCCAGAAACCTAGGAAGAAAAAGATTTTTCCCTGTTTCAAGAAATAGCACATTTCTTGAAAGTTAGGGAAACTACTCATGCCTGTTGGTCTTGTTGCCTGCTTTTTCAGTACCACAGAGTCTAGAGTCTGACAGATAGTAGATGCCTAATAAATATTGACCAAGTGAACAGGAAGGCCCAGTCTGTCCCCACAAGGATAGATCTGGTACAAAACAGCCATTGTCATCATATCTAGAGTCTTCTATAAACTGAGCTACAGGCTACAGATTAACTGCCATCTTTTAATTCACTCTTTCAGGGAAGTTTTCCTCCATTTTTTTCTCTGAACATTATCACATTTGGCTTTGACTTGCATATTTGAAGTCCTATGAAGAGTATAACAATTATGTTGCATTTTACTCTGTGCTCCAGTTGTAGTACTACAGAAGGGTAGTACTTGTTTAAATGAATCGCTCACGTTATTTACCCCTCACCTTTTTTTCCCTTTTAAACAGGATAGAGACTCTTAATGGAACAATGATTCTCAGGAAAGCAGAACTTGAAGCAAAGATGCAGGATTTAAAGGTAATTCAGGTTATACAATCAAGCCCATTTTTCATCCTTGAATGTGTGAGTAGTACAATACAGATCTATGTAAAGAATTGAGATAGCCCTTGAAGATGAAATATGATGAATCTAAAGTGCTGAATTATCAAGAGCTGCACAATTACCTCTGCAGGAATATCAAATTCTGCAAACAGGTATAAATCACTTTCTTCCTTCCTCCTTCAGTGTGTCTAGGAGGCTCAAAGAGGCAATAGGAAGGCATACCACTTGAAGAACTTTTCAAGGCATACCACTTGAAGAACTTTTCACGAACGCACCTGTGCTCTCTCTCTCTCTCTCTCTCTTTTTTTTGCTCTCTCTTGATTTACATTTTATCTGGGAAAAAAAATTAGAAAGAAGAAGCTGGTATTTTATCGTCTGCCAGATTGTTACATGAGTACGCAGGCACGCCTGAGACTTTTACTTTCTCACTGTCTTTTGTGTCTTATACTTTTGCCTCATTGTTAAGCACTCTATTCCCGTTACCGTCCTTGAATCTATTTTCTTTGGCAAGCACATTATCAATCCTGAAGGGGAAATTTCACAGTGCAGAATATTCAGTGAAAATTCCTGGAAGTGGCTCTTGGAAGATCATAAAAGTCCCAACTTTCCAGACTAGTGAGAGTCTCTGAGCCATGCAGTCCAGACCCTCACTGGAGCATCTGTCAGAGCCCTGTGGATGTCCTCCGTGGCCACAGGTGACCACATCTTGGTGTTCCGCTACATGGCTGTGAGGTGGCCTCTCTGAGCAGAGATTGCATGGCTCACTGCAAGCAGGTTTCCTTCTTGATCCTTGTTTAGAAATAGCTGCCATTTATTAGTTTTCCTCCTGGGTATTCCCCTGATGTTTTGAATCAACTTTTAAAAATTCCTTGAGAAAGAACTTCTGATTAGATTTTGATAGGAATTGAATTGCTTTTATGCAATAAATGAGTTCAGTTGAAATCTTCATGACTTTGTTTTTTCTTACTTTGAACACAAGATCTTAGTTCTTTTATTCAGGTCTTTTATATACTTTAAAGCATTTTGTAATGCATATTTTCACATGCTAGTAAATTTATTCAGATGTATTCTAATTTTCTTGCTATAATAAGATACTTTTAAATTTTTTTGATAATTTATTGCTATTGGTTTTTGTATAAATTTTTAAATCCTGCGGTCAGGCTCTACTTTTATATATCTATATATCTATCTATCTATCTATCTATCTATATATATATATATTTTTTTTTTTTTTTCTGGTACCAGGGATCAAACTCATGACCTCGTGCTTGCCAGGCAGGCGCTGTGCCTCTGAGCTAAATCCCCAGCTCTTCTTTTATTCTAATAATTATTTTATACATTTGTTTAGGTTTTCTATTCAGACAACTTATCTACAGATAATACAAATTTTGACCTATTGCTCAACTATACTAATTTATTTTTCTTCACTTATAGCATTGGCTAAGATTGCTGGTACATTGTAAATAGTGGTAGTCTTATTCTTGACTTTAAAGGCACTGCTTCTATATTTTGTTATTACATTTATAATGAATTGAAAACTGCTCCACATTATATTTACATTTGAAAAACTGTCAGAGTTATTTTTTGGAAAACATATAGTTTTGATGAACGTTTAAAAAATATTAAACTAACTTTCAGCCTTTTATTAAGAAAGAAAGGAATTTAGAAAATAAACTAATGACTTTACATAAAATAGATTTATATCTCATGGAATAAAGTAAGTATTCACTTGCACAAAGCTTTATTTCATAGTTCAAAGCCATTTCTACACTTTGAACATTGCCCAAGGTTTTAATGCACACACCTACTTTTTCTCTAGTAATTGTAAAATTTTTTCATTATCTTCATCCTCTCCTAGAACATTGAGGGCTTTAATACACTTTAAATGTCCATTTGAAGCCCATATTCCCTGTTTTTGCTGACTTTAGATAATTACATCAATTTTTAAAAATTACAAAATATGGATTTTATATTTACGTTTCCAGTTAGAATGAAAAAGCTGACAATGAACACACATCCCAACTGCTCCAGTGATGTCCTTGTTTCTTGCATTCTGCTTCTTATTCCTGCATTTACTTTCATTCTTCACATTTCTTAGCATTTGAATATATTACTCCTCAGGTATTTTTGTTTGTGAGAGGGCTCCTAACCATTGTTCTTTTAAAGCTAATCTACATTTTACTTTTTTAAAATGTTGTAAAGATTTTCCTTTTCACATATAAATACTTAATTTATCCAGATTGAATTTTTTTAGATACTTGTAAATATGAGTTATGGGAATTTTTTCAATTTTATTTATTTTTTCATATGTACACCAAGTTCTCCCAGTGCCATTTATTTTGAAGTGCTTTTTTCCCCATGTGTCCTGTAGCAAAACCTATATTTTTAAGCAAATTTCATATATACATGGATTTGCATACAGGCTCCCTGTATAATCCATTGGTCAATGTTTTAGCTTATAATAAATCTTGATATGTGTTTGACCAAATTAATTCTTAGTTCTTTTGATTTTTTGAAAATCTATATAAATTTTAGAACCAAATTGTCAAATTTCATAAATAAATCTTAGAGATTTGATTAATATATATATGTGTGGAGATTAGATGTCTAGATGATAATACATTTTCTTATCGATTTTTTTACTTCATTTAAAGTCTTACAATAAATTCTAATAAATTTATTCACACAAGTCTTGTACAACTTTGTTAGACTTAGTCCCTTCTACCTTATGAACTTTATGATTATAGTTTTTTATAGAAATAAATGTTTTCACTATGGCTAATGGTCAATATATAGATATATAAAATCAATTTTTCCTATGCTATTGCTATATTCAAGTACTATGTTAAGCTATATAATTTCTAGTAAACTATCTGTGGATTATTTTGAATTTTCTATAAAAATAACTGTCAAAAAATTTGATTCCTTCTCTTACCGTACTACACTAGCTAGAAGAAACCATATAAGAAAAACAGAAATGATAATAATAGGAATTCTTACTTTGTTCTTTATTTTGAAGAGAATTTTTCCATTTTCTCCCAATAGGAATGAGCTATCATGATGAATATACTTTTCAGGTTAAAAAGGTTTCCTTCTATATCACATTTTCTGGTACCTTTCATAGTGCTTGTGTATTAGATTACATTGAATACTTTTTCTGCATCTCTTAACATGGCATTCTGAATTATTCACTTAAAAAGTCTATTGGTATGGTGAATGACATTAAAAATTTCTAATATTATACCACACTTTCTATGATAAATCCAACTAATATATAATCTTTTTGTATACTCACAGTTTTGATTTGCTTTTTTAATGATCTTTGAAAATAGCTTCATTTTGCAGTTAGATTATTTTTCTCAGGCTTCTTTTTAAATTTATGTACCAAGTTTATAGTTTTTTGTTTTTAATGAACTGTGGACTCTTCCTCTTCTTACTGTCTGATAGAATTCTTGGAATAATACCATTTGAATCATGCAGGGTTGAGATTCTTATGAGTAGTAATACTTTTTTTTTTTTTTTTTTTTTTTTTTTTTTTGGTTTTTCTCTGGTACCGGGAACCGAACTCACGACCTTGTGCTTGCCGAGCAGGCGCTTTTGCCGCTGAGCTAAATCCCCAGCCCCAGTAGTAATACTTTTAAACCACAATTTTAATTCTTTTATTGATTTATAAGACTGATCAGGGGATTTTTTGTTTGTTTCTGTTTTGAACAGCTTTAGTGAGTCATGTTTTCTGTTAAAGTTTTCAAATTTTCAAACATAATGCAAGATATTAACAATAAAATTATATTCTCTTTTTAATCTTTGTCTTAACTATGATTGTTCTAATTTTTACTTGTAGTACTCCTTATGCCTTTTCTTTTCCTTTGATAACCTTCTTTAGAGAATTTTCTAGTTGAAAATCTTTTAAAAACTGATATTTGGATTTGTGGTAATGTTTTATACTTTTTTTCTGGAATTTTTTATAGGATTTCTTTTTTCTTCATTGATTGACAGTTTCACTGCAGTGCAATTAGGTACAGATTAATTAATCAATTTACACCACTTAGAATATGCAGCACTCTTTTTGCCTAAAAACACATGACTTTCTTCTGTTTTGGAAGGACACCAGGCCTATTTATTTGCATGAATCTTCTTTAGCACTCTCTATGTTATCTTCTAGATTTCCTGTTAAACATATTCTTGATTTATATTGCTTAGGAATATCTTTAGTAACATTATTGTTATTTGTGTTCATGTACAATGTGTTCTTTTTATTCAATTTTACAAATTAATTTATATTTTATTGTGAAGGAGTACTTTTTCATGTCTATCTGTTCTTGTTTTATTTTTCCTTCAAATTTTCATTGTATGAATATTGATTTTATTTTCTCTGAGAAGATTATGACCATTATTATTTTAATATTTTCTATGGATACATTCTTGGTTTTGCTTTGCTTGGAGAGAATACATATGCTGCTTATGAGTTTTAATGTTTTTTCTATCCATCAACATCTGTAGGTGTTCAGAGTGTAGACTACCTACGTCCCTTGAGTGACCCTCTCTCCTCCAGCTCATTGTCAGAGCCAGGCAGTTCCCTCTACACAGCATTTCAAGCCTTGCTATCCAGAGCTGGACTTGACAGCTCATATGTTTTTCCCTAGAGAGTCAGGATATGGTTTGCCTCAAGTAATGAGGATGCACTTATGTGCTTCTGTCTCTCTGAATTCCAGGAGATGTTACCTTCCCAACTTCCTATTCTTAGTGTGGGAGCTTCAGCCAAGATTGATTTCTGAAGCAGGAAACTTGACTACTCAATCTCCTACTTCAAATACATGCATTTAAACCTATATTGCCATAGCATTTAAATTCCTAGGTACCTCTTTTTGCTTTTCTTTTGGTCTAATAGACCTTGAGTCTCACTGCTGCTCACCTCTTGTATTGCTGTCTCACTTCTAATTTTGAAATGATGGAAAGTCCCAGTTTATCTCTTCAACTGCATTATCTAGGTATGACCTATAACCATTGTCAGACCAGCTTTTCCTCTGTGCTGTGACATTTACTTTTTACTTGCCATGTGAACATTCTATTCCTGCAAAGATTTTCTGTGGGACCAAAAGCTCTTATTTAGAAACAGTAGTCCCTTCTGAGTCATAGTGGCAGGGGTTCCCTTTTTCTTAACTTATGAGTCAAATGTTTAACATGAAAAGCATACCTTGAATAAGCTGGCTGAGAAAGCAAGTTCTAATTTAGCTCTGATGTTTAACTAGGTTTGTAACCCTTGGAAAATATTTGCTACAGTGAAGCTGTATTTTCTATTCCATAACTTTTTAGGAAAATTATAAAAATTAGATACCACATTATCTATGAAAGTGCAATTAAAATACTAATGTGCTATGGAAGGGTTCAGTTCTATGTCTCATGTAGACTGAAAACAATGGACATATATGTGGAACCAATCCAATGTGTGACAGTTGAAGGCTGTTTCAGAAAGTCATCTTTTCTGTATTCTTTCAAACCATATTCAACTAGTATTTCAACTATTGTGTAACAGACGCTGAATGAGGCCCAGGGAGGTGATGTGGCCCAACATGGTTTGATCTCACATATGATTTAATTTGCATGTTTTGGTGAGATTTTAGATTTTTCCATGTATACAGTTATGCTGTCAATAACACAGGATGAAATAGACTGAAGAGAGTAAGGAACTAAGTGACAGACTAAAAACTGTAGTCATTTTGATATATATGCTCTTTGGTATTTTCTTGGTGTAAGCGATGACGTACCTAGATGACTTATCCAGATCAACAAATTAGTCATTTAAAATCTTTATGCTTACAAAATTATTTGGCAAGCTCTGACTTTGTGTTTTTGAATACTAAGTACAGAAGTATTGCTTTCTTTCTGTTTCTACTGGACTCTATGGGTCTGGGAGGAGGTAAATCTCTTTAAGAGTGTAGGTAGGGGTAGATATGTATGCCAGCTCTATACTCTGTGGGGTTCTGGTTCCGACTTTCACATAACCATGGATTTACAAAGGTAACAAGAGCTGTGTCTAAAGAAAACTGGCAGTCAAGAAACCCAGCAGTCTTAACTATTACAGTGTATATCATGTTTCAGAAAGATTTCCTGAGCCAAGCGTTTTAATTTATTGCTTGCATGCTACATTAGCAGCCGTAAGCCTTGCTCTTAAATGTTACTATCAAGGATTGGAAAAAATTTTCCCAGCTATTGTTCAGTCTTTGACCACTGAGGAATGACCCATTTTCCCCTTATGTTTTCATTGATGTTCTTGTAATTTTATTAATTTCTTTCCTTCTCAAGTGTATGTTTGTTCTTCTTCCATTTTAGCCTCCATCCATTCCTTCCAGGTTGCTTTTACAAAGGATTGCTTATTTCCAACTAGCTTGCCTTTACTTTAGGATATGTGTGCATGGCAAATCTGACCTATACCTACTTCCTGGGCTTGCTGTGGGCACTTGGAACAGCAGAAGAAGGGGTGGAGGAGAGACAGGTAATGGCAAGGAGAGGTAGCCTGTGACACTGTCTTGTCAGATACCTTCTGCTTCTGCTCGTTTTGCTTTCAATTTCCATTGCTGCTCTGTGCGTGAGGCCTGACTTTGCCTTCCTGCTCTCTTGGCCTTTATGAGGCCACTCACTGCCGTCTCACCATGGGACGCTATTTTCCTGCACTGCAGCAAGCAAAAAAAGGAAGCAGGGAAGAAGTGAGGGTGCTTAGTAATGTTCTAAGTCTTGGAGACGAGGTCTGTTTTTTTTCTCTCTCTCTGGAAAATAAAAAAACGTGCAGAAAAAAGGTTGTTTTAGTGTCCCAGGATTTTAGATGATATTTACTGAGCGTTTAGTAAGGTATAGTTACCATTCTAAATATTTTATACATTTTAATTCATGGACTCATCATGAAACAACTGGGGTTAGGTTCTGCTATCAACACTATTGTGCATTTGGGGGATACTACTAGCATGCAGGTCCTTGTGTGGGCAGCTGGTGAATTCTTGCAAGCCGGAACAATCAGGTCCTATAATTTTTTAAACAAAAGTATATCCATTCTACAATTTCTCTTGTATTTTAAAAGAATACTTTTTTGGTGCTACTAGGTTATTTCTTGAGAAAATAGCATTACCAGTATTCTAATGTAACAAAGATCATTTAAATTAATAGGAGGGGGTGATAGTACTTAAAAGAAAGAAGACACTTTTAGCGATAAATTTCAACATTTAGAATTAAAGTGCTATCTTCTCAGAAATTTCCTAATAATTAGAAATTTTGTTTTTCTTCTCTCTCACAGCAAACCTTGACGAAAAAATGGGTGGAGTTCAAGTCTCTGCAGTTACAGGAACAGCGCCTGCTTCATGGTAATATGACTTCCTGCTTAGAAACCACATGTACATTTCATCCTTTTTTGTATTTCTGTCTCTAAGTTGTTTGAAAATTATTTTTGTTGCAAGGCATATTTGTCTAGCACCAGCCAAAGATACCAGTTTGTGTTCCTTTGGCATGAAGTCTGGGGAGGGGTTTGCATTTGGAAGAGAGGTAAGTCAAGTCACACCCCTTCTCCATACACGTAACATACATGAACATGAAAACATGAGCACACGCATGTGTGCACTTGGAAGAGGTGTCTGGAGAGTTCGGAAGAAGACTAAGAAACACTGCTTGCATTTCCTTCCACTTCAGCAAATGAATTAAATACCTAAAGTGACCACAGCTAGGGGCTGTTAGCGCTCCAAAGCTGTTCAATGTGGGAAAAGTTACATACTTCTTAAGAAGAACTCTCACCAATTACCTTTACGCAGAGAAGTCCTTTTTCATAGCTACCAAGACCAAGTCAGACATGTGTAAGATATAACAGTAAATGCATAACTTTTGGCACTGTATGCATCCTGAGGGAAAGGACTGGGTTTAAAGTGTGTTGATTTGCTATTTGCAGTGTGAATGATACAAACTAAGGAATCAACTTTTGCATACAAAGAATTGACTAAAACCACTTGCTATGTGGGTGTGAAATGTAGACTGTGGCTTCTTTGGGAACACTTAGTTCAAATCTCTATAACCTAAAGTATCTGTTAAAAGTGATAATCACTTTGCAGAAAAGTTATAATTTTTAACAAGTACATCAGAGCAGTAAAATTGTACATAAAGCATACATTGATGTTTTGAGGCAAGCATGCATTTTAATGCTTACATAAAGCTAAATGTCTGTCTTATCAAACTTCTTTTTGTGGTTAAAGCACTCTTTTACTCTAGCTTGTGGAAATACACACTTCATTTTTGTTACTTGTGATTACCCTACTGGCCAATAAAGCACACTGGAAAGTCTTGCTCCTTTCTACCTGTAACTTGGTATCCACTGAGCAACTTTTCTGTACATCCTTCCTCCTGTCTTGGCCACTGGTATCCATTACTCTCCTCTCAACTTGTGTGAGATCAAGGCTTTTAGATTCCATGTACAAATGAGATGATGCAGTAGTAGTCTTTCTGTACCTGACTCATTTCACTTAGCATAATGATCTCTGGTTCTATCCATGTTTGTTGTAGATGACAGGATTTCATTCTTTGTAGGTGGCTGGGTAGTATTCCATGCATGTTTATACCACATTTTCTTTATCCATTCATCAGTTGATGGACACTTAGGCCATTTCTCCCCCCTCCTTTTTTGGCTAATGTGAACAGTACTGCAATAACCATATGAGTGCAAGTGCTTTTTAAAAAGACCAATTCCATTTCCTTGGGATATATACCCTTAGTGGGATTCGTGAATTATGGTAGTTCTAGTTTTAATTTTCAGAGAAAACTTTATATGTTCTTCATAGTGTCCACACCTATTTTAATTTGCATTTCTACAACAATGTGCTAGGGTTCACTTTTTTCTCATTCTCACCAGCTCTCATTAACTTTTGTCTTTTGATAATAGCCATTCTGATTGGAGTGAGGTTATATCTCATCATGGTTCTAATTTGCAGTTGCCTGATGATTAATGACACTGAGCATTTTTATGTACCTGTTGGCCATTCATATGTCTTCTTTTGAGAAGTGTCCACTTAGGTCTATTATCTACTTTTAATGGGGTTGTGATTTTTTTTTTTGCTATAGAGTTTTTGGAGTTCCTTATATAGTCTAAAGAGATACAATTTAGTATTTAATTAGCCACTAATTCATAGCTTAAATATTTGCATTAAAATCTCTTTATTTTTAATTTTTTTTTTTATCTTTTTGAGACAGTTCTCTCTGTGTAGTTCACTCTGGCCTTGAACTCACTTTGTAGCCCAGGCTGGCCTCAAACTCACAGCAATCTTCCCACCTCAGCCTCTCAAGAGCGGGGATTACAGGCATGCTCCACCATGCACTGCCTGAAATGTTTTTAAAAGTATTGTCTCACTAGTGTAAGACCTGAAAGAGTGAATAAAAAGTAGGAGGTATGATAGACATTGAGAAGCAAAAGGGAAATGCTCAAAAGTAAAGGGCAACTGGGGTGTGGGAAAGGAGAAGGGAAAGAAGGGGAAATTATGTAAGTATGTATATACAGGATAGCTAACATGGTTGTACTACTGTCTTCTATTGCTTTACTGAAAGGAACAGTTAATGATTACTCATTTGATCAGTCTTGTATGTCTCTATTTGCTTTCTTGAAAAACCACTTTGAAGATATCAGTAAGTAATACAACAACCATTGTTAATTTCCTACAACTTTGTCTGTAACTCTGTTTTGTTTATATTGTCTTAATGCTATTTTGCAAATGGGTGTCTGTTAGCTAATATATTTTCCTTCTTTTATTTCTTAAAATAAAAAGAAATAAAGGATATGCTTGAAACAAAAATTGAAAGGAACAGTTAACACTTAAAATTTTTTATATTTTGACCAATTTTGCACTCATATCTGGTAATGTGAGCAACTGATTTGAAGACAATATGCAATAGAACAACCACTGATGAATTCCTACCATCTTGTCTAGTGAAACTTTGTATTGTCCCTAATGTTTTATTCAATGATTATTTTCTTATTCTCTTTAATGGTTCAAACGATCTTCCATTCTTACATCTGGTAATCTGAGCAACTAAAATGAAGATATCAATATGTAATATAACAACCACTGTTAATTTCTATCATTTTTGCTTTGAAGCACTGTATCATTTTTAATGTTCTTGCTTTGTTTTGTTTATGTCTGTTTACTCTCTTTAAAATTTAAAAAAATTCAGGATCAATTTTCTAGGGGTTGTTCTGGAGTTTGTTACAAGCACATAGATCTGAAACCTTCTTTGCAGCTTGCTAATTGAGCCACTTACTGGCCTCTGTAGACACAGGAGTGTTTAAGAAACCTTTGCCTCCATTTCTGGATTGTACTGAATGGTGCCATGAATGCAGGCAGTTCTTGGTTTCTTCTGGAGTGGCCTCAGAGAGACATAATTCTAAGGTCAGGATTCTTATAAGGTCATTCTTCACATTCTTTTGAGGGATTGAGTGAGCTTATTAGCTTGTATTTTCTGGAATTAGATTAGCTACCCAGGGCATGAGATTCTACAAGGCAATTGCTTTCTAAGCAAGAAAAAAAAAATTATCAGCTCATTGTAACATGAAAAAGTAGGTTGTGTTATCCAAAAATAAAACATTATGCCTAGTTCTTGAAGGGCTAACCAAGTTCAACCTTGTACATCAAATGGAAAAATGAACAGTATTTTTATATTGTCAACTAAGGATAAAGGGGAGCAAAAGCAAAGATAATTACAACAAAATGAAAACATTTTGAGTGCTTTGTGTTCTATTACTTTTCTTGAAGCAGATTCAATTTTCATCATGATTTTCTAAGCCCAGTACTACAAATACACTTCTTTGTTTTAGTAGCACACCAGCCAGTTCAGATAGTGTTTAAGCAAGTGGTCTTATGGGCAGGAAGTTGATGACTGATTAAGAGCTGGGGGTGAGGAGCCCAGATGTAGGTCATGAAGGTTTGAGAAAAAGTTTAGCCAAGTGGGCAAAATTAAATTACTCCAAATAGATTCTTATGTATTTCAGGGAAGAGATATTTTCTAGGTATGGTGCCATTATAAAGAATTTAAGTATTCTGAGATGAAACTTGGAATATCCAGGCTGGAAGATATATTTGATTTCATAAATCCCTTCTGTTATAAATACCTTTCAATTCTCTGACTTATAAGTGTGTTTGCCACATATTTCAAACAACTTCTTGTAATTTTACAATTAAAAAATATTGGTAACTAAAAACAAGGGGGACTAAATAGAGACAGTCATTGAAACATTTCCTCAAGGGTTTGTTTTAAAATTTCTGTGAAAATTTTACTAAAATGTTCTAGGATCACTTAAATGTAAGAAATGATCATTTGGAGATTCACATGTCACATTGGCATACTGTGAGCTGGGTTGAACTATTCTCCTATGAAGTACATTTGGTTTCTGGCAATATAACCTGAAATAAAACAACTTATAAAGAGAAAAGTGTTATATTGGCCCACAGTTTTGAAGGTTCAGTCTGTGATGGGTTCATCCCAGAGCTTTTGGCTGGTGGCGGCACATCATGGTGGGAAGGTGTAGCAGAACAAAATTGCTCTCTCTAGGATAGGGAAGCTAAAAACGGAAAGAAGAGGCCAGGATTCCACAATCCAATTTGAGGGCATCCCCTCCTTATGAACTAAAACCTCCTAGTAGGTTCTACCTCTTAAAACTTCTACCATCTCCCAGTAGAGCCCATTTGGGCTTTTGAGGCCCATTTCAGATCCAATTCTAACATGAACACCTTATTTATTCTAATACATAATTTTTATAACCACAGAACCTTTCTCTTGGGAGCTATTCCATGAATAATAGTTTGGCAAACCCTATTACACAGTTATTCAAATGACCTCAAAAAGTCACTTATTTATACAAGTGAAAACACAGGGTGAAATATTATTCACTCCTGCTTTTTCTTCTGTTTTTTGAAGATAAATTTTGGTGTGTTTATTTGTAGGACTGATATGCAGAACCATATCACAATAGACTTTGTTTTCTGTATTCTAGGTGATGCTGGTAACAGCCCGAGTTTGGAAAACATAGACATGGATGGTTTGGCTACTTTTGGGACCCTGCCTGAGCCAGGCGCAGCCCTTGTGGAATGGAATAGGTTATCCAGTGAGAGCAGCTGTAAGAGCTGGCTGAGCTCCATGACAGTGGACAGTGAGGACGGCTCCCAGACCTGTGTGTCTGAGGACTCAGGCAGGGGGGCCTTCAGCCGGCAGACCAGCACTGATGACGAGTGCTTTGTCTATAAGGAGGGGGATGATTTCACGAGGAGGTCTTTGTCAAGGAGGAACCGGAGCGTCAGCACAACCAGCAGTGGATCCATGTCCCCGTTATGGGAGAACAATTACTCAAGCGTGTTTGGGACTCTGCCCCGGAAGAGCAGAAAGGGAAGTGTCCGGAGACAACTCTTGAAATTCATCCCTGGCCTTCACAGAGCTGTGGAAGAAGAAGAAAGTCGCTTTTGATGGCCGTTGGTTCCTGTCCAAGTTAGCTTATTTTATAAATGTCTCTAGACTCGCCTAGAGCAACTCCACCCAATTTGGTGGGAAAATACAGATAAATTGTGAAACGGACAGCCCATTTCACAAGGAACAATGACCTTTATTTAAAATTTTACATCATTGTTTTTACTTCTTAAATCATTTTTCAACCACTGCAGCTCAAGTTCTAAGCAGACATTAGAGAATTTAAATAAGTTAAATAATATAACTAGTGCAAATGCCTGCTCATTCTAATGCTGCCTGTGAAATCACCAATGCTTGTTTTCTAGATTATCCATATGAGAAATTGAGAACCTTTCAGAGTCAGGTGTGAATAGGGAGTGACAGAATATAATTATCTGGTCTACTTTCACAGGATGATTTGGTACATTACAAACTTTGCTTTAGCTCAACATCATCTAGGAAGCCTTAATGGTAGGTATTTTGAGTGTTTCTGTTCAAGTCTTTAAAGAGTTATAAACAAAGATGACATTAGCCCTTTCTCACATATGTAGTAACAATAAATCAAAAAAGCACAAGATTTAGTATAACGAATTAAGATTCATGAGAAGCATAAAAAGATAGGATCTGAGAAGGGTGCTGAAGAAGACTCATAATAAGATCTTCTTTATAGACAGCTGAAAAATAAGTGGAGTCTCTTTCTTTTTAGTTCACTCTTTGCTCTGACTGAACACTGATGGCAAGGCTAGAACACTCAGGACCCTATGCCTTCGTGAGTACAGATATATGAAAATCCAAAAAGCGAGGTTTGGGAAAAAACCAAAAAGGGGAAAATCCAAAAAGTGAGGTTTGGGATTTTTGTCCTATAGATTTTTTTCACATGATTCCTCACTGTATATTCCAAATAATTATCACCTTAGCATGCTTTTACCTATTACTTATATTTGTATCAAGTACTTCCAGCTTTTCAATCATGCTATATTTTATTCACTATCCATTAAAGCCTATATTTTCTTTGTTCTGGTGATATGGCTGCTCTCTTCCTGTACTATGGGCTGTATGACAGAGACAGAGAGAGACAGAGACAGAGAGAAAGAGAGAGGAAGAGAGATAGAGTGATGAGGAGAAATAGACATAGGTGGGTAGAACTGGTACACTTAAGTAAAGTTCTGATTAATCCACAGGATGAATCATTTTGAGGAGAAACGTATGAGATAAGCAAGGTTTGAGGGTAAGAAATAAATAATAAACTCTAAAAATATTTCTAAGTAGGACCTGCTTTCTGTCAATTCCTGCACTGAAAAACATCTAGTGGGCTCTGGCTGAAAGTCACATGAAAGGCAGTGTGCAGCACCTTTTTCAAGGGTAAGAGCAATCCTGCCTACCATTTGCTGAATGTTGGTAGCCCAAAAAAGGACACCTTACATGTGATTCCAGAATAGTTTTTCTTAGGCATACAGATAAGACAGAAGTTCAGAGGAATTCCTGTGGTCACATGACTTCCAGTGGCAAAGTTGACAGTGGAAACCAGTTCTTCCTGGATCTATCCTTTTAGTCTTTCTATGTATCGCTAACTCTCTTGCTGGTTTTGTGCAATTATCATTGTATTAACTTTTATTTCCCCAACAAGAAAACTTAAAATACAAATTGTAAAAGTGCATAGGTAAGAATATTGTTGTTTATAAGTAAGAAACAAAACAAACATTTAGGGTGATCGCTTTTCCTGGCTTACATAGGCACATTTTCAGACATAGACACATTAATACTTATGTGGTCTGCAGTGCGTTTATTTCACCATACTGTGCAAGAGGAAGGGCTTGCAACCCAGTTATGATTCAGCTGATACTGCTTATTTCTCATCACACTCTAGAATTATCATGCTAAAGATCAGCTTATACAAATGCAGTATTTCCCATTAATTCTGTTTTGAAAGTCCAAGGGAAAAAATATATTTATGTGGTGAAGGATGACCCTAAAGTCTTTTATACTGGGAAAAACTGCTTTGGAAACTACCACAGGTCATTTGGGAAAGTAGGCTATAGGTCACTTGCTTTTGTTGTGGCTTTAATACAGAAGTGTAGCACTTCTACATAACAGTAAATGTTAGATTCAGAACGGGAGTAGGGGAAGGACACAGAAAGCTTCATTTCAGTCTGTAATAAGAAGTATTAGAATCAAAAGTTAGATCTGCATTCTGGGAAAAAAGAAACGCTGGTTAACCAAGGTACAGGAAGGAAGGCTATGTCATTTTTTGTGCTTTCACAAGCTGTTTAGTGGAAATGTGGGTAAGTTTCTCACAGGTTTTTAATCTGAATTTAATGTGAGTGTGGCTTTAAAAGAATCTTCTGGTGCACACTGACTCACTTTAAGTAATTTATGGGGAAAAAAAGTTGAACTTTTGTTTTTATCCCAGTTGTCACATATATATTACTGGTGAATTGATTGAAAAATTATCATGAAGGCACATTTTTCTAGAATGGCATTTGGTAAACCAAATTTGAGTCAAACATACTGGGAAATTATTTTATCATATGGCCAAGGAACAACACCATATCAAGTAGAAATGAAATACATTTTTTGAAATAAAATTTTACTAATCGTGTATTTTGCAAAACTTTTATATCTTAGGTACATACTGAAACTGGTATTAAAAATCTTAGTTTGAACTAAAAAAATCAAACTTGGACAAATTTTGTGTATACTGGTCATAAAGTGTAGGTATTTAAGAATGTATACAAACTAAGTATAGCAAACAGAATCAAACTATATTAAGAAACCTTTCATATCACTACTGTTCTTACTTTATATCTGCTCCCCTACACAACAATGGGCTACAAAATCAAAATCTGATACTTTTCTGAATTACAGAATGCTATTCTTTGGTGTCCAAATATCTCTCCCACCTTTGTTGCTTTACTTCTCTCCATTAAAGGAAAAGGTTGGTCTTTTTTATGTTTTCAAAAGTTTGCCTATTAAAAAACATGAAATGTTTCAGGGATCAATCAATATGTATCTCAGAAGTCTTTCCAGCAGTCTCAGTATACAACAGCTTTCCTTTGCTCTGTTGCTGCTCATTTCAGGATCATTGGAGTTGATTGTAGTTCTTAAAATCAAACTTGCTCTGCCAAATCCAAGACCCTGAATTTATTCAGACTGTAGAAACATGCTTTTACCACCCATACACCAAAATACCTCACATTCAGATCAGCAACAGCTTTATTTGCTGATTCCACTCTCTCAAATTCTAAAAATATTCATACTGCTTCATCAGCAGGGGCACCAGGATTTCAAATATCACACATTTTCCAACTTTGCCATATTTTTCACATTTTCTCTTGGTTTCAACTTCCATGTCTTTCACTCTCCTGCACAAACTATGGTCCTCAGTAGGACCACTTTAGTAGGACACGTAAGTATTTCATGTAATGTGGAATTCATTGAATCCAGCTCCTTGGATGTATCCTGGGACTCATCGGGATCCATGTGGCATCACCCATGTCAATCCTGCTGCCCTGCTTTCCAGTCTTTTCTACTGACAGCATGGAGCTCAGCCTCTGCTCTTGTTTCCTCAGACCTTGGCTTTCCAAGATGTCACATTTCTGCATGATCTTATGTGCCACTGTGCCACCCCCATTAGCAGGGGGAGTGGCCACACCCTGTTGTAGATTATTGTCTACCCTCTTTCTCCTCCACCAGAGAAGGAAGAGCAACTTTGAGAGACTATGATGAAGAGTTTGAATCCTCTTCATGAGGAAAATCTCAGAGTAACTCCTCTGTTTCTCTCTCTATGAAGGAAGAGAGTGGGGGCAATAGCAGCTCCTCCCATGTTCTTTTACACCTATTTCTCATCATCAGGATCTGGATCTGATCACCTCCTGCCTCCACTGTTTCTCTCTTTGACACTTCACTACTTTCTCATAATTGTTAGGAAACAGAAGATCTTCTTCTTCAGCTAAGAGAATCTGAACCTCTCTAGCAGAAATCCCCTGAGAATGGGTCTTTCAAGCCTACAGCAGTCTGTGGTAGCGTGTCATCCAGAATCTGTTGGTCATCCTAGGAGTCGCTTCAGTTTAGTCAATGACAAAGGTAAAGACAGTGCTTTGTTTTGTCCTTTGGCTCTTTGTATGAGTGAGAGTTGCCCTCTGTACCTAGGCTGAAGCCACAGAAGTTTGAAGGATTGGGAATAGCCTTTTGTTTTCAAGGCAGTAGTTTCCATTCTTAAGTCATCATACAAAGATGTCTTATTTTCCATTGCACATTGGCCTACACAGCCTCTGCCTATGGGCTTTGGGATGGGAGAAAAGAACCAGTTGCCCACAGTGGGAACCTGTGAGTGACAGATGCCAGGCTATGCCCACCTTTGCCAGGGTGTTTACAGTCCAAAACACAGGGTTAGGGAGCATGGATGATGGTGGTTGTTTTAAAAAGCAGTTTTTAGAACTTAGGAGACTCATGGCAGGTAACTTCTTTAAAGTCATTAAGAGGTGTAACCACGCTGGAAATGTGGTTGAGTGATAGAGCACTTGACTAGCATACACAAGGCTCTGGGTTTGATCCTTAACACTGCACATTAAATAAAACATTACCTACTTAATTGAAGCTTTATATTTACATTCATTTTCTATTGGTATTTGACAAGTTAAGACATATTTGGGAGCCTAACTTATATTTGTTCCCTAAACATTTCTATAGGTCATAAGTCTGGACCTGGGATGCATGGGGCTGAGCAAAGTCTCAAGTGTAGTCATGGAGTTTTCTAGGCTTCAGTGGGGAAAGACCCACTTCGAAGTTCCTTCAGGTAGTTGTCACTGGCCAAATGATTCATGACTGTTTCCTTAAAGCCAGCAAAAAGAAAGAAGTGCCACAAACAAGACAGAGATTTAAATAATCCAATTTCAGGTGAAGGGATGATGTCCTATAATCTTTGCCATACAGCATAGCTGCTAGAGTGCCTTACCATCCTCTTTCCATAGGTCACATAGCCATGGCATCCCATCACCTTCGCATGTCACACAACACAATCACAGGAGTAACCCCCTATCAAGTGAGCCATATTCTGTTTGGTAGGAGCAAGTCAAAGGCTGCATTCTCCAGAAGCAGGAATTAGACAAAGGTATGAAGTTTAGGAGGTGGGGAGGAGGAGTGGGAGGGGAAAGCACCATAGCTTCTACCACTGAACCGTGTCTCTAGCTTGGTAATACCACTTAATATAAAGGTATTGAACATTCTTTAAACCCCTTTTAGTAAAAATAAGTGGTGAATGTCAGCATCTCAATTTTTATGTAAAGAACTTTGGAATTAAATAGCCAAGAGTCTGTAATTAGCTGAAAACTAGGTAGAAAATCCAGGTCTATTTTTGACCTTACAACTTTCCCTCACAAGTGTCTTGAATGACAAATTTTAAGAGACTGCTACACAGTGAACAGGTTATTTACTTCCTCAGTTCTACCTAGGTAATGTATTTAAGTGAATTCAGTGATAGATTCATCTTTAAGAGTTGAGGACAGTAGATATTCCACAGAAACCCAAACAAAACAGTCATCATTAAAACTATAAAACTATTGGGATCTCATCTTAATAAAAAGCTTTAAAAAATAATCACCAACAACAGAATGAAATGATAACCCACAGAGTGGGAAAAAAATCTTAGCCAGCTGTTCTTCAGACAAATATCTAGAACATATAAAGAATTCAAGAGTGAGTGCTCCAGGAGCTGGGAGCGAGTGCTCCAGGAGCTGCCGGTCCCACGGTTCGAGTCTGGGCTTTGCTTACACAGCCACGGTTCCCAGCTAAAGCTCACAGAGAGAGCCAAGTATTCCCCATCTTCTTCCTGAAGGCAGAGTGGGCCTACCGCTATTACAGACTCTCTACCCTCCTTGCACCCAAGGCAGAGAGGAGGTCCTCACTCAGAAGCCCCAGGGACTTCTTCGGCTGGGGGCGGGGCATGTAGCCTCTCCCAGTGCCCACCCGCCCTGCGCCCAGTGAGCGGGTACTTCAGGTGCTGCTGGTCCCACAATTCGAGTCCGTGTTTTACTTTCACCTGGACCCCCTAGCTGGTCAAAGGCATGGGCAGTCTGTGACTGCTACCCGTCCGGCCTGCTTCTGGTTCCTGTATGTGTCCTGAACTGACAGGAGACACAGAATCAGTTGGTTCAAAAACTGTAGACACTGCAGTTTGTGTCTGGATTTTGCCTATACCCTGAACTGCCTGGGGACATAGGTCCACTGGACCGAAATTGTCACACCAGTGCAACCAGAGTCTGGGTTG